GAAAACGGAAAAGTTTTTTTTTTTTCCCGGCTTTGGTTTTTTTTTTTTTTTTTTTTTTTTAATATTTTTCAATAATTTTTTTTTTTTTAGTTACCAACTTTTTTTTTTTTTTTTTGATGATTTTCCTTCTTAGCAATTTCTCCGGAAAATTTTTTATTTTTTTATTTTTATGAAAAACATTTTTATTAATTTTTTTCCTTTTTTCCTTTTTTTTTCAAAGTTTATTTTCAATGGAAATCTTTTTTTTTTTTTTTTTTAAAAAAAACTTATCGGTTTTTCTTCTTTCTTTTTGACGAGAGAGAATTTGTTTTTCATTTATTTTCTCTCTCTCTTTCTCTTTCTCTCTCTTCGTTTCGTATCTCTTTTTGTGTGCTATATTTTCTACTCGCATCATTTTCGCTTCAGTCGTTTTTTTTTTTTTTTTTTATTTATACTTTTTGACTTGTTATTTGTCTTTTTTTTTTCCTTTTTTTTGCGAGGCGCATTTGCTTTTGGATTCCCTCCCCCCGCTTTCATTTCCTTCCACCACCCTCAACCCCCTACCAATCCTACAATTTTTTTTTCTTTTTTGTCATCGTCGTCGTAGTTTTATCTCATATTAATTATTCACGTCAGCGACGTTTGTATTATTATTATTATTATCATCATCATCATAACTATTTTCTTCGTCTTTTCCTTTTTAATGGAGTGAATGAAAATTTGATTTTCATGGAGAGAGAGAGAGAAAGAGGGGGGGAAAGAGTAGAATATATCGAGTGGAAATTTATGTAGACGATGAAGAAAGAAGGGCGGGAAAAAAGAAAAAAAATTTCGATCGGAATCGATTAATCGATCGATTTCTCGAATGCGACTCGCAATCATCATCATTATTATTATTATTATTCGAGATAGAAAATGACCTGCGATTTTTTTTTCGGAAAAAAACTTTCAAATCGATTATTATTATTTCGTTTCGTAGTCCACACGAAATCTACACAGCCCAGGGAAAAATTAATAATAATGATAATGATAATGATAATTTTTAAATAATGAAAAGAAAAAAGAAAGGAAAAAGGTTTTTCCTTTGAAAAAAAATGGATGATAAAAAAAAAGGGAGAAAGGAAAAAAGATGAGGAGGCGGAATAAAAAAAAAAGAAATGAAAAATTTTTAAAAAAAAATTTTTTTTTTTTTTATACCTTGTTCAAGTGTAACTCGAACTCGTTGATGCAAAGAAAAGAAAGGGGGAGGGGGAGAGAGTGGGAGAAAAGGTGGGCGGTGTAGAATAGACGAAGAAAAAAGGAGGTAAGAATATGAAAAAAGAAAAAAAGAAAAGTTTTCCTCGATCAAACTCAGGGAAAAGAAAAAAAGAAGACGGTTTCATAGTAATTGTAAAAAATAAAAAATAAAAGAAAATTTTAATTTTTAACGAACGAATTTTCCGACCGGAGTTAAAATTCTGGAGAAAAGTAAAAAAAAAAAAAGGGGGAAGAAAAAGGGAAGAAAAGGGGAAGAAAAGGGTAGATAAGGAGAAAAGAAAAGAAAGAAAAAAAATTTTTTTTTAGATTTGAAATCTAATTCTTTACTTATTTATTTATTTTTATTTTCTTTGCTTTTCCTTCCTTAGTTCTATTATCATTATTCTCATTCGTTCCAGTTTTTTTTTCACTCCAGATTTTAATTCCAGGTAATAAATATTAACGAAATTAAAAGTTTCGGAGACGAGACGATATGAACGAAGAAACGTAGGGCTCGATCGTGGCATTAGACCGATTCGAAATTGGTTTTCCAATTTGAAAAATGGAGGATGGAGGGAGAAAGAGAGAGAGAGAGAGAAAAAGTTAACCGCAAGATGATTCGTTCTAACCGATAAATGACGATGAAGAAAAAGAAGAAGAAGAAGAAGATACTAATAAGAAAAGTGTAGTACAAGGTTTGGGAAGAGAATTGAGGAGGAGGAGAAGGGAAGGGAGGCGGGGGATGCGGTTGGGGATTCGACTTGGAAAAAGAAAAAGAAAAAAAAATTGATTCGTACGATGAAAATTGGAAAATAAAAACACGAAAACTATTAAGAGAATTTTATGGAGGGAAAAATCATTCGATGACGATCATGATGATGATGATGTTGATACGCTTTTAAAAAAAATAAAAATGGAAAACGTTAAAAGGAAAAGAATTAAAAGGAGGGAGGGGGAGGAGAGGGGGGAAAAAGGAAAAAAGGAAAATTACGCAGGCGTTAAAAAAAAAAAAAAAAAAACGCAATCGAATATAAATTTTTCTTTTTTTTTTCCACAACAGATTTTATTGTGATAGATTGTGTAGTGTCGAGACGGTTAATTAAAAGTTTTTGTTTTGTTTTTTTTTTAAACAGGAAATGAAATATTAATTCGTTTAAAATCAATCAACCAATCAATCAATCAATGATTAATTTATTCATTCTACTACGATTCCTTGTCATTCTTCTGTCCGGCGAGCTTTCATTAAATGTTGGACGGAGAACTGATAAGGGCTCGTGGATGAAAAAAATCTTCGATGAAGTTCGGATCAAACGAGCGTGTGAGAGAGTGAGTGAGAAGATTTTCGTGGCAGAAGATTTTTAATAAGAAGCATCAGTTTAGCCTTTACCAGGCTATGTCTTTGTCTTAATTATTTAAACAGACAAAGCCTGGGAGAGGCTTTTCCAACGGCTTCTTCTCGGAAAATCTATAAACGACGCGTCGGTAGTTGGCGGAAACAAAAAGCGATGGTCGTATTCATTGATACCTGAAAAATCAAAGTTGTTTTGTCGTGGCGTTAGAATTCGTGACTAAAGCAATGAATCATTAAAATTTTTTGTTACTGGTGAGTTTAAAAGGTTAAAAAAGTTAAAAGTAATAATAATAATATTAAAAAAAAGGAAAAGAAAATGGCGATGATGATGGGGTGACAACGGTGATGAAAAATTGATTGTTGGTTAGTGTGTTAAAAAAAAAAAAAAAAATAAGAGAGAGAGAGAGAAACTAAAAAAGGTAAGAGAGAAGAATCTGTGAAAGATGATAATAATAATGATGATAATAATCGATTAATCGATTTTTCCGATTTTTTTTAATGGCTTTAGGCTCAACCTTTTTAAAAAAAATTTATTAAATTTTTACCAAAATTCGCAACCTTTCTTAATTTCTAAAAAAAAAAAAAAATGGGGGGAGGAGTAGGAGCAGGGAGCGGAGGAGGGAGGGAGGGGAAAGAAAAAAATTCAATTTTCTCGGAAGTCTCTCGAAAAAATTGTTTTTTGCTTCATTGAACTTCGATTTTACCCTTAAAAAACAAAAAAAAAATTTTTTTTTTTTTTGTGGGAGTGAAAGAGAGAGAGAGAAGAAGGAAAAGAATAAGAAAGAAAAAAAAAAGGAAGGAAAAAAAATCATGGATGAATTTTTTTTCTTTTTTTTTTAATTCTCTTTTTTTTTCCTCTCTTTCAAACTTGATTTCATTTTGTTTTTTCGGGCATAAAATCTGGCAAAAACAAATCAAACATATTTCATGCCCAGTTTTTCTATTTCCCTTCCTTCTCCCTCCCCCCTTTAAAAAAAAGGAAAAAAAAAGAAGAATAAGGAAGGTTTCGGTTGTGTGGCAGGAGCACCAAAAGCAGTAGAAGAAGGAGCCGCGGGATGCAGAAAGAAAAAGACCGGAAACGGAAAGAGAAGAAAAGAAAAAATTGAAAACGAGGTAAGTGCAATAAGGATTTAAATGATTTTACAGGATCCAAAGGGTATATGCGGGACGGGGGAAAAAAACGAGTAAGTCCAACATTTGAAAATTCATTTTCACGTTCGGTGGAGGGGCGAGTGTGTGACGTCATTTTTATCCGCGTACGAAATGTGCGGGGTTGCCAAATTAAAATTTATTAAAAACGGGTTTTTACTCTTATGGATCTAACTTCATTCGAAATTTTTTTTTTTTCTATATCATCATCATTATTATTATTATTATTATTATTATTATTATTAGTATGACCGTATCAAAAAGTTAAATAATAAATAGAATTCGTGGGGGGGAGTGGGGGTGTAAAAGAAAAAAAGAGAATTTAAAATATTGAAAAGTTAATTTATCGTTTTTATCGAAACGTTATGTCGGAATGAATGAATGATTGATTGAATGAATGAATGAATGAATGAATTTAATAAATATTTAGTAGTGGTAGAAGTACGCATATATAAAAAGTTTGTGTAGCTGTCGTTTCACCCCCCTCCCGTTTTTTTAAACTAAAAAAAAAAATTTATTTTTCTTTTATCAATGTTTTTTATTTATCAAACCGGATATTGATATATTTTCTCGTTTTGATTTCATTTCCTCTATTATATATACACATATATGTATAAACCTGGGAAAATGAAAAAAAAAAAAAAAATTTTTTTTGTGCACTTTTTCACACACTAATTCTATTTCCACGTCGTTTTTATATTTAAAAAAAAAAAAATTTCACACGTATTAATAAAAACTTTTCTTCTGCCACTTTGTTAATATTTTTAATTATTTTTTAAAACAATTTAAACACATAAAATTTTATTTAATTATTTAGTTTTGGAACGAAACGTTTGTTAAATATCGCGTTTTAGGTGTGACTGGAACAATAAATGTTATTAATACTGTGGTGAATGTACGAGCCTGGAAATCCTTGAAAATGTTTATTCCAGTTTTTTTTTTTTTTTTGTTTCTCTTACTTGTTAAAAGTTTTTACAAGAATGGCAATGAGAATTTTAAAAAAAAAATTAATTTTATTCAATGATAAATACCGGCCATTTTCCATTTTAATCCCAAAAAAAAAAAATTCGAAAAACAGGTTTACTTCCGGTTTTTTTTTTGGAAAAGTTTCCATATTAATAGTCGGAGTCAAATTAGGGATGAATAACGTTTTGGACGAGATGAATTTAGTGGCAGCAGAATATAAACGCATACGAAAAGGATGTAGATTGACTGGAAAAAAATCCAGGAAAATCCTCCTGGAGCCACCTAACTCGAAAGGCTAATAATAATAATAATAATTAAAGGGGGCTCAAAATTTAATTAATAAAACCAAATAAATTCCATAGAATACATTTTTGAAAAATTGAAAATAATAATAATAATAATCTGGAAATTTAAAACGATTATGGCGGCGGTGGCGGTGGCGGTTATAAAATTTAAATAAAAAAATATTTGATGTCATATCATTGTGTGATAAACAAAAAGATGAACGATCGAGTTCTTTAGCCTTTTTTTTTATAGCGCTATAAAAGGTCATTTAAAATATTTTAGGGGTGAAAGGTCGAATTCTCTGGGATAAAAACTAATAAATGATCCGAAACGTTTAAAAAATAAAAAAACTTTTTAAATTAGAAGGTTGTTGATCTTTTAATAAATCTTTATTTAATTTTTTAATTTAATATTAACAATAATAATAATAATTTATTACTTGTATTTTGGGTTAAACTTTGTTTTCGAAGAATTAGAGAGAGGGGGAGGAGGGAGGGAGGGGGAGACAGAAGAAAAGATAAAAAAAAAAAAGAAATTTATCGCTTTATATTTTAATTTTGTTTTTTTTACACTACAAAAGGGTTCGATTAATTTTTTTTACGCTAAAAAAGAGCTCGATTAGTTTTTTCTTTCATTAAACGACGTGTGACGTAATATGTTTACGTCACACATTTTCCATAGAGGAAGTTAAAGTAAAAAAAAAAAAAAAAAAATTTACTGAGGATTAAATTGTTGTTTACGAATGAACGCGCTCGTAAAATTTAAATTATTTAAAATTGTTTTAAGCTTGAAAGGTGGTAGCCATGGTGGTGGTGGTCGTGGTGATGTTGGCAGCACTGGCAGTTGGGGGGTTCGAAAAAGGTCAAAAAAAATTTGATTTACTTATTACGTACAATACCTTTATTATTTAATGAAATTTTTGAGAAAAAAAATTATTATTATTATTAATACTATTAATTACGCCGCGTACATTTTATTATTATCATCATCGTCATTATTATTATTATTATTATTAAATAAAAAAAAATTTTGTTTTGATTTCGAAAAATCATCAATTTTTTTTTTTTTTTTTTAAATTTTTTAAAAATATAATTTAATAAATATCGATCTATCGATATTTATTAAATCGATCGGAATGGGGGGAAGGTAGGAGGAGGAGGGAGGGGTCGTGCACGCGTGCTGGGCGGGGAAGGAGGAGAAGGAAGGGGAAATTGAAAAGTCGGTTCGGAAAATTTTTTTGCTCTGGTTTCTCATTAAAAATGAAAACGTTTTGAGGGTAGCAAAGGTAAAGAGAGAAGAAAATTAATTTTTGGTTTAAATTTTACAACGACGCAGACGACGACGACGCCATTGTATAAAACAAAACGAACGATGCGGCGTTTGAACCTTTTATTATTATTATTATTATTTTTGAATTAACGGTGAGATTTATTGCGGCGTTAAGGAAACGTAAGAAAGAATGAAAGGACGGACGGGCGGAGGACGGAGGGGTGGTGGTTGTGAGAATGGGGGTAGGGATGTACGGCGTTTGGGTAAAAATGTGGCCCAGAAAGGTACAAGAAGGTTGAATGAAAAGATTTTGAAAACACTTTGGGAATTAAAGTGTTTTTTTTGGGGGGAGGGAGAGGGAGGGGGAAACGTTGTTGGAATGTCGTTTGTTGTAAAATATGTTTAGGGGGGAAAGAAACCCTTCGTAACTCAAATAAGTTTTCACCTTAAACCGGAATTTTTTCTTTTTTTTTTTGTTAAAATTTTCTTATTTCCGTTTGGCTGTTTGTTTGTTTGTTTGTTTGTAGACTTTCGGACGACTCATTCAACCCCCTACTTAAGGGTTTTTTTTTTTTTTTTTTTTGATTTTATTACGATTTAAAAGTTGTAAAAAGTTAAATTCGAACAATGTGTATCGTCTTTTTAAATCTTTTTTTCTTTTCAAATTTTTCCGGAAATGAATAGAAAAGGTTAACCGAAGTAAAACAATTTTTTTAACGGTTTTTTTTTCAAAGGTTTGCTACACTGACCGACGATGAACGAATTGGGCCAAAAAATTAAATTCAAGGATTTCAATTTATTATTTTATTAATTGAAAAATGACTTTGTCCTCTTTTTGTTTTCGTAACAACAATTTTCAGTCATTCGCTCATTCATTCATTCATTCATTCATTCGCCGTGGAAATAAATAAATAAATTATTAACGCGTCGTCTAATGACACGAATATAACACGTAATTTAATTTTTTTTTTTTTTTTTCAAAATCGCTTGTAATAAAGTTATCGAATTCATATCCGGTTTGTAATAAACATCCGGTTGGACGAGGAAAAAAAAACCGTTTGTTGTTTGTTAATATAATAATAATAATAATTTTTTTTACGGGGCAATCGAATCATGAAATTTTTTAAATGAAAAATTATTGAAAATTAATTTTTTTTTTTTTTTAAATTAAAAATCGAATTTAAAAAAATTTCCTGGAGCTGGAATTTTTTGGTTTGTTTGTTAAAATGAAAATCATCGTGGAAGCAATCTGGAACGAAAATACAAATTACGAATTCGCTTTGGAAAACATGTCCAGAAAACGAAGATAAAAGAGGAAAAGTGAAAATGATGCAATGACGATCTTATCGTGGTTGTTGTTTGTCGATTGAGACAAAATATGGAAAACAAAAGTGGTGATTGTTCCAGTAAACCGACTCCCGACACAACAGCAGCAAC